ACTTCATCTGAATTTCGGTATGATTCTTCACGTAGTTTTTTTCTTAATTTTTTTTCAGATCCTTTTGCCAATATTTCATTTAAATCTTTTATCAAACCATCATATTCTTCCGTTGAAGCTTCATCAGAATTTTCAATTAAATCATTATATAGTTCATTGCTTGCTTCTTTACTAAAATCTTTATTAAGTTTTACATGTGTATTATATAAATTTTTTTCGTTTGAAAAATCAGGTGAAAAATTTTTATCACGATATTTCTTCAAGTCGAAATTGTAAAATAAATTTAAGTGACGTCTTCCAAGGATGCCATTTTTCGGTTTTTTTGAAGATAACCTTCGCTTGGCTTTACGCTTAAATCCTTTACCGTTTTTTCGAATATTAGTAGGCGGCTTAGAGTAAAAAAATGTCAATGGATTTTTATTATTCAGACGGCTTTTATTTCCAGTAATCATTTTGCTTTTATTTCCAAAAGTTAGTTGAATATTCAAAGAAAAATAAAAATTAGTAAACAACAAACATACAATTTGATGCGACTTTATTATTTTATTAATTTAGACAATTCGATATTAAAAATTTTAAGTAACACTAATTCTGGCGATTTCAACTTTATGAATCATATTTAAAAGTAACAACTGCACTTTTCCATCTATGGTAATATATTTTTATCAGAATTTTATTATTATATTGACGTATTTGTAGTTATAAAGCGGACTCGCAATTACGAGCGCGAAATCAACGATTTATAGGATTGAAAAGTTGATGCTATAAAATGAAAGTTACACTTTTAATTATTCATTTTGTAAACATTATCAAATGAAAAATAATACAGCGATATCATTTTATTAACAGTGCAAAGTTTTCAGTGTCGAATCGAAGTATTAATATTATTGCTTAATACTGAAGATATTAATTGAAAATTAGTAGGTGACAAAGCAAACTCAATCTTCTGACAATTATAGTCATTTTTCTTTTGCATGATGAGAGTAAGTTATCAAAAATTTATTAATTTCAACGTTTTTATGAATTGGGTAAGTTCTAATAATTATTTATTATTTCCAAAGTATTATAATCATTTTGTTTATAATATTAACGTCCTATCACTTATAATAAAAAAAAATTAATACGAAAATTGGACTTCACTTGTTGAAAAGAATGATCATGATAAATGAAGAAATTTTTCAATACCATATCATTACTCATTTTTTTACATCAATTTTGCTTTATAAATACGTTCAAAAATTACAAATAAAATCGGGTAAATTTGTTCAAATTAGTTCAAAATTGATTAATTTTCCACATTTTCAAATAAATTGAGTCTACATATGACTGACAATGTTCGTTTTCTACAAGCAATTTGAAAGATGATTAAATCGAAAGTATTGTATAAATTTTTTTTACATTATTATAACTTTTATTTGCAATAAACATATTTGTTGACAAAATTCTATCATGAAAAATGTAAATTTATTTTTTTAAAACGTTAATAATTTTTTTCCAGCTCACATTCTCCCTTTGAGTTTCTGCAGTATCCTTTACTGCAACTACATCCTGCTTGCATGTGCTCACAATTCTTCTAAAAAATGAAAAAAAATTTCAAGATTTTATTTACTTTTCAAGTTTACATTTATTGTTTTTATAACTTACCACTTTACAGTATCGTTTAGGTTTACCACATTCTTGATCACAACTTGGGCGTTCTTCACATTTGTATGCTGGTCCAGCACATTTTACAGTAGCACAGGAAGCCTTCCCTTCGACAACTTTCACTATTTTTATCAATTAAGATGAAATTTAATTAAAATAAAAAAAATTAAATACAATACATAAGAGTTACTAACTACTTACGAATAACGAAAGAAGCAACTATAAAAATGTTGAGCAACAAAAGTCGAAACATATTTGTTTCAAATTTTCAAATCTTAATTATCAGAACAACCAAATAAGAGCTCTTATACAATCTTATATACTTTTGAAGAAGTGAATCGATACTGAGATGTTATTATATACTTAAATTTACAGTGTAAATAGTAACTTTATAAATATTAGTTTATAAATGAAGAGTGATAAGACTTTTTCCCTGTATTAGTTATCGACTTGTTAGTTAGTCATATTGATACTGTTTTTACAGTTGGAGTTTTATCATCGTAATAATTTAAAAGCATCATAGCACCAAGGAGCAAACAACGTCTTTGAACTTCAGAAGTTACTTTTGAATTGTCTAATCCTTTTGGTTTGTCGAGTTTCCCAAAAATCGCTTCAGTCGATCGTCTATTGAATTTTTTGCCTACACGGAGAGAAATTTATAGGAATCTTTCCAACAATTATGGGAATGGATCCTATAATAAAATTATCATTATAGGCATTAATCCTATATTTATCAGTCATAATGTTACTGCCGTACAGTTGGAGTTTAAAAAAAAAAAAAGATTGAATATTCCAAAATTTTGATAATTTTATTCGCTGTCTCAATGTTTTCTTAATTAATTAAACAACATTATTAGCATAAGTTTAAATTTCGTTAAGCAATTAACATTTTATATTTTTAATAATGTCATTTTATAATTTAACGTTGAAAATTTTGGTAAACTAATATTTAATTTTTAGGGCAATATTTTTTAAGAACACATTTTCTATACTTATTTCTTATTTCGTACTAGTTATTTTCTAAATAAATATGATTTTTACTTGTATACAACCTTAGTGTGTTTTTACAAGGAGAGGGTGGGAGATTTATGGAGCGACCCCCTGCGGTTGTTGTTGAAATTAAATTTCTAACAACCGCCGGGGCTCGAACCCGCGCCTATCGGCGCGATATACGTACGAACTAACGAATTAGTCCGCACGGCTATCGCGACCGACTAGTTATTTTCTATATTTATATCCAAATTTTACTTTTGCAAAATTTCGCAATTATGAGAGATAGTAAGTATATTTACAAAAGAGCGAATATGCGGATGAGAATTTAAACATTTGAAAATTCTTCAAAATCAAAATTTATTTATGATTTTGATAATTTAAAATTGAAAGAGTTAAAGATTACAAAAATGAACTTACAAGCGACGATAAATGTTAAGAGATGAATTTTATCAGTTTACATATAACTGATAATTTTTGTTTTCTACAAGAAATTTAGAAGACGATTAAATCAAAAGTATTGTATAAACTTCTTTAGGCATCATTATTACTTTTATTTACTATAAACATGTTTGTTGACAAAATTCTATCATGAAAAACTTTAATTTATTTAGCTACGGCGAGGACAATTTTTTTTCAGCACACATTCACCATTTGGATTTTTGATGTACCCTTCACTGCAAGAACATCCTGGTTTACAATAAGCTGGATCCTGGATCAAACAATTTCAATGTTTTATTTACTTTTCAAGCTTATATTCATTGTTTATACAACTTACTCTTTTGCAGTATCGTTTAGGTTGATTACATTCTTGCTCACAACCTGGACAATCTACACATGTATATGCTGGTCTAGCACATCTTATATTATCACAAGAAGCCGTTCCTTCGACAACTTTTATTATTTTTATCGATTCAAATAAAATTTAATTGAAATGAAAAAAATTAAACACAATACTTAAGACTTACTAACTACTTACGAATAACAAAAAAAGTAATTATAAAAATATTGAGCAATAAAAGTCGAGACATGTTTATGTTTCAAATTTTCAAATCTTAATTACCAGAATAACCAAATAAAAGTTTTGTGCTCTTACAATCTTACTTTTGAAGAAGCAAATCGATACTGAGTTATTATCCTTATATAAAATTGAGATGAAATGTATGTGGCATCAAACTATTCGTAACGTGATTGGTCGAATATATCATAAGCATGAAAATATATGCAAATACTATAGTTAGGCGCGCGCTTGCGCGCGCAAAATTCAATTCTAGTATATTGAAATTTGCCGTATAAACAGCAAATATATAAATATTAGTTCATAAATGAAGAGCGATAAGACTTTTTCCCTATATTCGTTATCGACTTGTTCGTTAGGTTGTTTTTGTTTTTACAGGAGTTTAAAAAAAAACAAGATTGAATGTTTAAAAATTTTTATAATAATTTTATTTACTGTCCCAATGTTTTTTTTTTTTTAATTAATTAATCAACCTTATTAGTATTCGAGCTTAAATTTTGTTAAACAATGAACATTCCATATTTTTAATAATATCATTTTCCAATTTGACGTTGAAAACTTTGGTAAGTTAATATTCAATTTTTAGGGCAATCTTTTTCAAGGACACATTTTCTATCCTTTCTTGCGTATCCGTTTTTACAATAGCAAGCTGCAGGACGACACATCTACAGAAAAATGAATCGCTATTTTAATTTTACATTGATAGGAAAATTTTACATAAATTTTTTGTTGAAAATATTCTTATGATTGAAAACTTTTTTTGTAATACTTTTTTTTGGGACGTAGAAGTAAAATTAATTGAAAAAACTTACTCTATCGCACATAGGATTTAAGTTACCACATTTGGGTTCGCATTTATTTCCACAGCCATTACAATATGAAGTGTAGTCGCATGAAATGCCTTTACATCTGTCTTCATCGGTAGAATACACGCCTTCAAAAATTAAATCATGAGAAATTTTGAATAGTATTTAAAATTGATAGTTACTTACAAACGACAATTACTGTCAGGAGAAAAATATTTGTCAGTAAAAATCGAGACATTTCTGAAAATTATTGGAGTTCTTCAATTGAATGAACTTTATTCTGATGAATTAATATGAGAATCAAGATATTTTATACGCAAAATAAAGGCTAAGTAAATGAACAACGGTGTTTATTAAATAGAAGCAGACTTTTTTATTTGGGCTAACCAGATGTCAATATTTTCATATTTTATCTTTAATATTTAAAAAAAATCTGAGATTATGAAACAGAACCTCAAGTATTGTTGTTGGATAATTTTATTTTATGTATAATTCAATAAATATTTGCTTATTGATTGAAATTTTTCGTTAAAGAATTAGGGCTAGGAATGAATATGAGATTTTTTATTGATAAATTTCCTTTTTAACTGAAGACACGAGTCTTTGGGAACGCAGTTGTTAGTTTTCTCATCTCTTGCAAAATCCTTTTTGCAAGCGCAAGCTGGTGGGAGGCAGATCTACACAAAAGTTCAAAATATCCAAATTTTACTTTTGCAAAATTTTGCAATTATGAAAGAAAGTAAGTAAGTTATATTTACAAGAGAGCAAGCATGCGGATGAGGATTTGAACATTTGAGTTCGCACTGACTACCGCATGAATTACAAATTTCATTTGTTCCGCATTTAGTCGGGCAGTTATTGGCATAAACACCTTCAAAATCAAAATTTATTTACAACTTTGATAATTTAAAATTGAAAAATTACAAAAATGAACTTACAAGCGACAATGAATGTCAAGATATGAATTTTGACCAACAAAAATCGAGACATTTTGGAATAAGTTATTCGTAGAATTCGTAAAACTGTTAGAAAAACTTTTATTTAGAAGCAACTTATATATTTTTGATAAGAGGAAAATTCAGTCATATAACGTATACAAGTTACACAAATTGATAAGGATAATCAATGTGAAATGAATAATAAGTTATCGCAATGTATAAAAAACAATTGACAAAAATAATAATCTGACGTTAGCGATTAATTGCAGGAGGAAACTTTTTATCAAAAAACAAATAACATAACTTTATTGAGAATTCAATATCTGATAAAATAATATTAAAATATATAAATAATATTAAAATCACAAATTTGAGTTATATATACATTAGAAACAAACTTTGTTTGTTGCTGTAAGATGGACAGCGGTGCTTCTTGGCCTAGCTTACCTTACTTCTACCCAGTGCTCTGTAAGCACATCTGGGGATTTTGTAGGAGTATTTAGTAGCATAACATTAAAAATTTTATATTTGCTATTAATTTGTTATATTTGTCACAAATTTGAGTTATATATACATTAGAAAATAATATTAAAATATTATCCAGTGAAGAATATTTTTATAATATATTTTATAAGCCATCATAAGAGCAATTATTTGTACTGTGGGCACTGGAGTTTATGAATACATCTGCCAGTTAAATTGTCCCTTGCGTATTCCGGGTCACAGGCACATGCTGGCGGGTTGCAGATCTACAAGAAAAAATTATACACTTACAATCTATATAAATTATTTTGTAATAAGACGTTATATTAATTAAAGAAATTATAATTTATGGATGATTTAAAAAAATTGATAAAACAAAAAAACTACGAAAAAGAACTAGTAAATTATACTTACGAGTGGACAAATATTTCTATGTATATCTTTGCAATTTAGCTCACACAGATTACCGCATGAATTACAAGTTTCATTTTGTCCGCACTCGTTAGGGCATCCATCGGCATAAACACCTTCGAAATGTCATTTTGATTAATTTCAAATTATAGCAGTAGAAAAAAAAAATAATATTAATAATAATAATAAACTTACATGCGACAATAAATGTCAAAAGAAAAATGTTGATTAACAGAGATCGAGCCATTTTGAAATTGATTCAAAGAGTTTATAGAACTGTATTAATAACTATTATATTCAAACAACTTATATACTTTCACTACTATAAAAATACAGTCGCGTAACGTATGCAAGTCTATGTAAAACGATAAGATTAATCAAGTCACAATGAGTTATCGCTTTGAAAAATTCATAGTTCAAGAACAATTGATAAAAAAAGTATAGTTGCTCTATATTTGATAACATATTTAATGATTTTATTTAGATTCTTAGAAGAAGGTAAATTTGTTATTATTTCTAAGCATTTTATTTACTTTTTTTTTTCTTAGTTAAAAATTATTTGAACTAAGAGAATTTTCTTAAGGACATTCGATTTTAGAAACACATTCTTTACTTAAGTCGTCTCTGGCAAATCCTGGCTTACATCGACATGTTGGAGGATCACTGACATTTTAACTAGAATTTTTTTTTCTTTTTTTATTTAATAGGGTAAATGCACCAGTTGTTGACCGGTCACCAATTAGTTGACCGATGTATAAAAAAGTTAATTAATTAATATTTTACAAGGTTTTTTTTTTCTTAAAGTATTAAAATAAAAAAATATGGCATTTAATCATCATAATAAAGAATTACGCAATTAATTGCGCAGTGATTATAGCTTTAAAAAAATATTCTGAGTTTGTTTACAACGCAACCAGCCATAATATCAAATATTTTTATCGGCATAATATCAAATATTTTAGTTTTATTATGTTAATTAAAGATCAGATTCCAACTTTTTTGAAAAAATAAAGTTAAATTATAAGTTTTAATATTATTTTAAGACCGGTCAACTATTGGATCCGTCAGAAGCCCTTTACCCAGTAAAAAATTCATTCGGTCATTTATTAGACCCTCTGATTTTATCACAATCCAATTAATCACCGTATATTTATAATACTAACTTCTTAACTCCAAAATTAAATCTGTCAAGTGTTTAAAGTACTTTAGTCATTAAATATTTTGTAAATATAAAAATAATCATTATAAAATGGATATTTATAATTAAAATAATACTTAAAATCTTTTTTGATTATTAAATTTTATTTTGTTCTAATTTTTTTAGTGAACGGTTATTATATCAAAGAACGAATTATTAGAAGAAAAAATTGCTAAGCAATTAAAAAAATAAAAAAGAGTTACAAGCTAGTAAAAAAGCATTAATTGAAAAAAAGAAGGAGAAAAATAAAAAAATTTCAAGTGAATCAGAAGAATTATCGTCATCAAAATGAATTTGTGATTATTTGTGACCTAAAGAAATGTGACTTTATGTTAATTATTGCTATTATTTATATTATTTTATAAAAAAAAGTACGATTTAAAATTATATTGTATGATTAGTTTTATTAATAGATGTCGTTAATACTTCAAAAGTACTGCATAAATTTAATTACATACATGTAGTTAACAAAATTACTTATAATTATTTGAGCGGTCAATTAATTGGAGAACGGTCGGTCATTTATTGGGTTTCTTCGGTCAATAATTGGTGATTTTAGTATTTCAAGATTCAAATAACAAAATTAATATAATTTTGTTAATTTTTATTATAAATAGTTATTAATTATTATTAATTAAGTATTTAACTTTAATAAAATCCATTACAAATTGTTTTTAGAAGGTTAATAGATTTTTTATAGCTTAGTACAGAAAAAGAAAACCTTAATCGGTCAATAATTGGTGCATTTACCCTATATAGATTGTCGCTCTGGTAATGAACTATAATCACTAAGTAAACAAACCTGTTATTTCCCATTACGATCGCTAAAATATAAAGATAGTGACTACCTCAAATGTTGAGTCCAGTCAATTATTAAAGTTACTGTTGAAAGGCAATATCAATAGTTAAAAGAAAGCGAAACTCGACTAGAAATTGTTGAATATTTTTATCTAAAAATTTTCGAATAAAAATTTTGTCTTATCATTCAATTTTGGGAACATGACTGTTGTTTATTGTAAGCTGATATTTTTTAATGTACTGATTGCTTACCTTCATGTCCTGTATAAACAACCTAGTGAGTAAATTTTTAATAAAAATTAGTTGTTAGATACTCAAAAAAAAGAACGAGGTCTAAATTCTTGACAGGAGAAGAAAATTTCCCTGTTTTAAACTACGTAATTATATAAAAAATCTTACATCGTAGATGATAAATTTTATTAAAGCTTATACGGAACAAAAATAAAAATAACTTGAAAAATTTACGTAAAACTACTCATTAAATAAATGATGTTTTGATAATAAAAGAACATCGATTTAGTGTCAAGTAAAAATGACATATTTCTGACGGATATATTTTAAAAAATGTGCATTTTAATACAAGTAGTCATAATAATTTTAATAATATCTGGAGTAATCTTTTTTGTCCTTTCGGTGTACAATTTATTATAAAAAATTAACGTTAATTTCTATACCATAGTATTTTTGTTTATTTTTAATTTTTTTAGTTTTGAAATTAGTCATGAAAATTTAATAATTTAGAAAACAATCATTATTATTCATTCCTATCAACATTGGTAAATTTTTTTATAATCTATAATTTTTTTGTGGTTCTGATATTCGATAACCATACGGAATCCCCTTGGGTGAGTAGAATGACATTAATTTTATTGTTGGCGAAGAGAGCAAGCGAGACCGAGTGAGATTGGAATTATTTGTGGAGATATGAAACTCAGGTAATTGAAAAAATCAAATAAATAAAAATTTGGTTGAAAGTATAACGGGAAATTTTCAAATGATGCAAAAATTTCAAATAAATTGAAGGTTATATTGAAAAAAAATGAATCATAATAAAAAATTTTTTAAATATTTACAAACTTCATTTTTTTTCTTTCCAATTCTCGTATGCTCTACCGATAAACTTATTTTTTCTTAATTAATATCTTTTATAATACTAACAAAATTGATAAGCAAATTAATGCATGCTTATGTAAGAGTGGATAAGATCGGCTTAGAATTAATAAACACTATGCAATTCATAAACATGTGTTATAAATAGTATAACATTGCATCTATGCAGCGATTGAATAATTATTCTTAATATATTATCTATCTATGATGAAAAAATTTCAAGTTTGAATATTTATCGATTTCTAAATTTTTAATAACGGATTCACTTGAATTTTTTTGCAATGTATAGAAATATAATTGTTAAGTGTAGTTAACCTAGTTGAATCAATGAAAACAAGTTACAAATTTTATTTAATATACATTTGTACTAATTCTTGCTTATTATTATTTATTTTCATCTCGGCCTTGTTTATCTTGTAAAAGATATGACGCTTAAGATTTTTTTTATTATGATAAATTTATAGAAATTAACATCTATATGAACGAATATTAAGTATAAAAGCATTTACAAGTAAAATTTTGATATCATAGTTTGCTTCTATAAACAAATTATCATGTCTTCTAAGGTTTTAGTGTTATTCATTGTTTTAATACACTGATAGAAGGATTTTTTTGTATTTAAAAAGATTTGTTAATATTTAATAAATGATTTATTAGAGGATAGGTCTTTAACAAATATTTATTAACAGTTAATAAATCATTTATTAGTATTTAATATACACTGGATTATGAATATTTAAAAAATTCCTCAAAAAGGTGTTTCAATGTTTTATTTTAATTATAAAAATTACAGAGAATTAGATATTTAATGAAGTAATAAGATAAATTACAATTAGAAGTTTATACATATATATACTTATTTACAACTACGCGTTAAGTAGAGTTATCTACCAACACCGACCATCAACAAAATATTTGTTAACTATTAACAAATCTTATTTGGTGGAAATAAATACTTTTTTCAATACACAAAAGCTTCTTAATAGTTACAAAAATTTTGTTCTCATAAAAAATTGATTTAGTTAATACTAACGAATATTGGTAATAGTAAAAAAATATTTTTTCCACCCAAAAAAATATCTGAAAAAGATTTTAATAAATTGATTTATTAAATACAAACAAATCCTTCTATCAGTGTACTTGGTTCGTTTTTTAAAATTACGAAAATGTAATAAGATTGATCTAAGCTGCGGAAATAGTTTTAATTTTTGTGATGTCTTAGGGTTAACTATGGCCTATTCTGACGGAGGTTGTGGTCCAAATGCGGAGTGGAAAAGTTGCGGAAGTGCTTGCCCCCCAACTTGTGAGTCGCCGAATCGACTAGGAGTTTGTATAGCAGTAAGGATTTATATTTATTTTTTGTAGAACAACAAAAGAAACATATGATTTTTTAATTTTGTGTCTTATTTGTAGGTTTGTGTATCCGGCTGTTTCTGCAAAGAAGGGTACCTTAAAGAATCCGATGGTACATGTGTCCAAGAATGTAAACCAAGGTCCTAAATTTTGATGATTTGTACAATTAATTAATAAATGCATTGCAGTTATAATTTATCTCATTATTTTTTCCCCAAACGATAAAAAACAAAAATAAAAGATTGAAAAAAGGAAGAGAATTTTTCAGTTTCAGATATAATTATATCATATCGAATATTATAAGATTGAAATTTTAATTATTAAGTTACGCATTTTTGTCACTCATAAAGTTTTGACTTTCTGATATGCATGCTGATACGGGTGTCTTTATATACACAGCATATATTTTTGCAACTTCAATTTCGCAGGTAAACATGTCTCGATATGTATTTTTTTTCTTGTCAGCTCTGTTGACTTTAACATGTAGGTATTAAATTGTCTATAATTACCTGAAAAGACTTTGGTTTATTATATAATGTAAAAAAGTATAATTTCAATTACTTAAAAAGCGACTTATTAATTTTTATTTTTACTTTGTTGATTTATTCTAGATGTAGAGAGCTTTGGCTGTGAGGAACATGAGCACGGCAGTATTTGTGGACATTACAAGGAACCGCAGTGCTACGACTTCGTGAAAAAGCCTAATTTCATAGTGAGAACTTATAATGATATATAATAATCTCTTTCAAAATATTGCTCTCTGTATGAGACATGTAACATATTATTTTTACTTTTTATTTGTAGCAATGCATCAATCGATTGTATCCAGGTTGTCGGTGCGACAAAGACTACGTAAGGAATCCTCATTCAAAAAAGTGTGTGAAGAAATCTGATTGCTTTATGTCAAGCTTAAGAGGATGGCGCGATAACATTGTTGACTCTATCACTGATCAAATTATTTAAATATTGTTTTTTATTATTTACAATTTATATTGATTGTTAAGGCTTTTCACTAATTAATTAATCCTATGAAACATTGTGATCGGCCGGACAAATTATAGCCATTGTGAGCGTTATGCATTTACGAATAGTAATTATCATGATTAATGCAATAAATTATATTATAATTTTCAATGTTATTTGAAATTGATTTTGTATTGTTTTAGTATTATTTTGCATTAAAAGCTTTTATAATTATTTTATGTTAATTAATGAAATATGTACATACATTTCATTGTTTGAATAAAGAAAAATAATATTTTATCATTATATTTTGAAATTTTTTATTTATTTAAAAACAAGTACAACAAATCCTTTTAAAAATTGAAAAAAATTCAATCTAATTAATGAAACTGTAATAATAATTATAATCAGATATGATGTTCAAATTTTTTATAGACAAAATAAATATTTGACTTATTATAAAAAGATGATGTTTTATTAAATTATTTTATTTACTTCGATCAGTAAAAAAACTCCATCTAGAATAGTTAAAAAAATGCAGTAAAGTAGGTAGTAATAAAGAGCTTAAAAATAAAATTAAGTTATGAAAAAAAAAAATCAAAATTTGCTAACAGATAAATTTTGTATCTATCAGAAATAATTTTTTTAAAATTTCTATCTTCATTATAATAGTGAAAATTTCAGTCTATTCTATCATTTGGAACGCGATGTCAATTATTATTGATTACCGTGGACATAACTTTGAATGTCACTCGAATTTTCGGTTTTCAATAATGGCTTAATTCGATTATATTATATTTAAATACTTCCGCAATCTATCGGCAGTTTCCTTTTCCTCCTATTTTTAATCAAAATAGAATCACAGCCATCAGCACTGTAGCATTATTTAATCTACATAACTTATTTAACCGATTCTATAAATAAATTCTGAATATTTTATTTTGAATATACAATTTAATGTCATTATGATATTCTAGATTTAGAAGACCTAAAGGTTATGAACCTTTGAGTCTTCAATTGTTAACTTAACCCTAGACTGGTCACCCGTATAGCGTGGCGCCGCGTAACAACTACTCAACCTAATATAGAGACTCGCTATAGTGCGAGCGAGAAACTAAAAAAATGGTGACCAGTCTAGGGTTAAGTACCGCACCGATGAAAAATTAACTTGATTCAAATGAGAAAATCTTAAACCAAGAACATCATTTTGAAGAATTTAACTATTCTGAATCAAGTAAAAAATTTTTTAAACCAAGAAATTGTTCATGTATCAATTAAATTTTACTTCATTTAAAAATTTTTTTGCTCGAGTCTTGGTTTTAGATATTTTATCTGGAATTAAATTAATTTTTTATCAGCACACTTTAATATTAACTCACTTCATTGTCGCTTTATTTATTAAAAGATCATATTTATTTTATACTACCGGAAGAGATTCCCGCGTATTTTCAAACAGTATACAATAAACATTAGCGCTTATTTTCGTTCAAACAAGCCAAGCGATTATAAATTGGGTATCACACTGAAAATACCAGAAATAAACTTCCGTATTTTGTCAACATTTGCCGACTGTTTGCATCGTAAGCACAGACCCGTTACTATAAATATGGTTCTGCAAATAAAATTTGTACTTAGAAGTGTCAGTTATTTTTACAAATTACCATGGCTCGATTCACTCTGATTTTCGTTTTGTCGATTTTTATTTTTTCATGTAAGTGAAACGTGAACAAAAGGATTTTTATTCTATTCTTGGTCAGAATATAAGTAATTTTTTATGTACATTTAAAATGACGTCAATTATTAATGCCATATTTCTCATATTTAAAGGTATGGAGTGTTCAGCAGATAAGCAATCCTCATTTTCACCTTCGTATTCAAGTAATCCTATATGCAGAAGTGGACGGACTCGTACTAAATTAACTCCGTACTCTTTTAGCAAGGTATGTTAAGTAGATCATTTATTAATAACTTTTTTCTCTGACTAGTCGATATCTACCCCGATATTTTTTTTTCCTTTCAGGGCGCACATATTTTCACCAAAGGGACAGTGAGGTCTCCATATAGTTTTAAAAGATACAATGCAGGCGCTGTACAATGTCCATTGGCTTCTTTAAAATGTTAACAAGATTCTGCTTTGCAGGATCATTTTTTTAATAGAATAAATTATTTAATATTTATATTAATCCATATGCTGATAGAAGAAATTTTTAAGAGAAGCTTGTTTTGGACAGATAAATATAATATTTAATGCAGTTCAACAGATTGCTGTTTCGTCTTAAATAAATGTTTGTAACATTAACAAACCTTTAGTATAGTGAAAGCAAATATTTGTTTTTGGAGATAATGTTTAGTAACAATTAATAAATATTTATTCAACGGACATTGCAAATGGCTTAACTTGTATTAAGACTTATGTTGACATTAGACGTTCAAAATGTCTGTAAAGCTAGGATTGACTCGTCTAACAATGACATTTAATAGCTCGGTTATTAAAGCAACAAAATTTGTTTGTAGTGTTGAATTTATTACTTCTTTGTTACTTTTATTAGAATTTTGTTGCTTAATTGTCGGTCAATGCTGGATTGAGTCAATACTAACTTTACAAAAGTTTAAAGTTTTTATGTCAAGATTTTAAATCAAATTTTTATTTTTATGATTTAATTATAAGAAAATATAATTTTTAATAAAGTTGAAGGGCTTTACTTTTTTTCATCAAAATTGTATTAAAGTTTGACCCTATTTTCGTCTAAAAGCTGATCAATAAATATTATCTACAGAATATAGTTCAGAAAATTTTATTTCAAGTAAAAAAAAACCAGATATATTTATGATTTTTTTTTTAAAAAGAAAAAAGTGCTCACCACGCTTGACAGTTTTTTCTTCGGTGAAAACAGAAGTTGGAGATACTTCATAATTATCATGGAAACTTTCAATGAAGCTCTTATTTGTCGTAGTTGAAGTTGACTCAGTTGGAGTTATTAACGAGTCCCGATGACGTCGAGAGTGCTGTAACAATAGATAAATTTAATTAAGCATCCACTGATTAAAAATAGGATTTCAATTAAAAAACCACTGTAGGCAATAAAAATAATAAATTAAAAAAAAACTCCGTTTGAAATTACAGTAAAATTTTTTTTTGATTTGTAAGAAATGATTGCAACTATAAAAATTAGACGTTTTATTTTATGGGAAATAAAAGTCCTTTAATTTAGTTAGCGATAAATTAACTTCCTGAGAAAAATACTGGGTGGTTTTCCGCTTTACGATTATAGACTAGTGCTCGTGAATCCGCTTTTCGTAAAGCACTTTATATACCGACCGGCGAATAATGTTCATCGACGTCTATGAGTTCTCTCATAAATTGGCTCTTGTCTTCTTTTTCATTACGGTCCAAAGGATTATTAATATTCTTGTCTTATGCTCCGTAGATCATTATCGTGATGACTATAAAATATTAAATGAGATATTTATTGCAGAAAATGAGCTAATAAGAATGTCTACTAAAGTCCAAATTAAAACTCAATTTCTTTTGCAATAACAATTACATCAAGTGGTTTACTAAAAAAAAATTTTAATAAATTAACACGAAGCGATTGTTAATTTATTTATCTATCTTCAAGACAAAGACTAAGTTTTTGAACTGTTTAACAATTCAGAGCGGTCCTTGGTTGTAAAATTTTAACCACTTCTTCTTTCTAGTATTAAAAAAACTACTTCACGACGACAGTGTCTTTTTACTACATAAACTCAATGAATAAAATAACTCCCAGGGGGCATAATTGTGCAATGAAACTCACGAAATATTTCTTCTTCTCATTTCCTTTATCTCAATATTGAAGACTACTTTCTTATACTTTATAATCGAATTATTTTAATGATCTTCCTTGATTATCAGAAGTAAAATCTGCTATTGCTGAAATTGGATCGATAGTTCATTTGCACAAATAACAAAAAAAAAATTAACTTTTGTATAAATGGTATTATGAAAAAGTTTTCTATTTTATTTGCACTTAATTAGACGTCCTACTTTTGCACCTGCTTCGCTAAAAAAAGAATTAAAATAAATTTATAATGTCTGTTCTTATTAAGCTCCATATCTTGGCACCGTAGCTTGCAATAATTAATATTTCCATTGTTATTATTAGATCAATAAAAAAAGCTACTTAATATATTTGAAACTAATACCAAAGTCAGCGAAGGTGCAATTAAAATCAGTTGATAGCAGTAGAATCGTGATGTAAATTGTCGTAATTCATGAATAATATCTTCTCGACAGAATTAGCAAATCTATGGCTCACATATCAGACATTAGTTAGCGAGTTAGTTAGTTTGTACAGTTTAAGGAAATGGAAAAGGACATTTTGTAATGGATACGTGGAGGAGTGATTAAGTAGAGAGTGCAGAAGCGGTTCTGTTGAATCCGTTTTCCAGTGTGAGCTTACGGGCTCTAAAGAAACGAATCAGGGAATAGAAATAAAAAAGTTTCCTTGGAGGATCACCTTCATCGATTCACGTTGGTAATCGCTAGGAGAACCATTTTGTACATGAGCAAATGGATTTCCCTTGCCATCCACACACAGACTAATGTTATCAGCTATGTCGAATGTGTCTCACTGGCACTTTGCTAGGATTCACTGCCGATAGACTAAATTTATTTCTTGTTACGTTACTTTAACTTTTTTTTTTTTTTTTTTTTATTCTTTTAGTGTATTTTCACGTGATTCCATACACGACAACAACAACTACGGAAACAACAACTAACGCTCTTTTTTATGTGACTTCAAGGCTCAAAAAGACATTTAGATACTGATCAATTTAATGCACACTGAATCAATTTTATTTTTATGTCTTACGTGCCAGGACGTATTTTTATTACACACATAAAAATTATTTGTTAGGACAACAAAAACAGGGATAATAAAAAAATATGCTGTGATAACAAATGAATTTACTTACAATAACAAATCAACTAGTTTATTTAACAAGATTAACTAAGTTGCAATAGCAAATGAATTTTTACTGCTCTGAAGTTAATTTTGTTGTCTTAACAAAATCGCTTTGTTATTATAATAAATTTTTTTGTTGCAATAATAAAAAAGTTTTCTTATCAATAAAATTTGTTACTTGAACAAGCTATTCCGTTGCTTTAACAAATCGATTTGTTACTTTAACAAAACTATTTTTTTAAAATAATTGAAAGATACGGTTACAATAACAAAATAATTTTGTTGAGTGAACATATGAATTACTTACTATAACCTATGTGTTTGTTAATACAACATATTATTTGTTATCCCTATATCAACATAACAATTTTTTGTCACAACTTATTTTTTGTTGCTCTAACAAAAAATTTTTTTGCGTGTACCCACTATTTTTCAATTACACCATCAACCATCATACAAAACTTTTATCTCCACTCTACAGACTCCAAATTGTACTTGTAAAAACTGCTCTGGCGACTTTAAATCACATTTTTTTTTTCCTATAAAATATTAATGATATCAGTCATCATTTTTTCAATCCTCTTTCTTAAAATATTTTTTCTCTCGTTTTATTTCAGATGGTTTTTCATCGAAAGTGTTTATCACAACATTTTAAACTTCTTTTTCTTTCATTCTATTTTTTTTTTATCAAGAAACTAACTTGCAGAACGTGCTTCATCACAGAAGTAAGATGAAACATTGTAAAGAAAGTTATAGAAGTTAAACAGTAAATTTTCAACGTGTGGTCGAGTGGAGTAACACTCGGTTGTTGAAGTTAAAAACATTTTGTCTATATACCATACCTTCATACTGATACCTACATCTATAAAAGAAATGACAAAGTCAAGGAAGCAATCAACGGTTACACTCGCAGCACATACAACTTACTTTCGAGGGACAACTGCAGTGAAACTTATGACATCTAAATCCAAACTATTTTCTATTTCAATCAGAAAATAAATATGAAGTATAAATTTTTCAACAGCTTCAATAAAAAACATTAATGCTTAATAATTTGACCTGATTTTCCTTCGTACATTGAGATGCTAAAGAGCTTGCTCGCGTGATGGAGAGCAATAAAATCTCAGACTGAAGCATAGCACGCTCAACTGAGCCGGAAGCTACCAAGTAGAAAAGTCTCGTTAAGCTTATCTATTTGCTCTGTACTCAGCACCTTTGGCGATCTCTTACGTTTTTTATCGTGTTTGATTATTTATTTTTCAAAATTTTTCTAGCACGCCCCATTTTACATACAGAACAGTTGAGTATTTACGCGTGCTATCTTATTCCTCAACGCCGGTAATTTTTCACCGACTCAATCTCAATCTTGGCGCAGCAATATCACATAAAATACATTACAATATAACTGCCAGTAAGGCTCTTGTACCTCACAACTTTTTCCACTCGGTTTTGCCAGACATTTTTAGCTTTACGGTTACTGGCAGTGAAATCTAAATCGCAATAGTTGAGGCTACAGTATATAGCAGTGTAAGAGAAAACCAAAGTAGTATTAGTAAAAGTATAAGTAGTGCTGGTTACTAGTGGTAGTTTCTTTTATACCCGTGGTTTTATAGGGGTGAGTGCACATTAATATCCACTCACACCTAGCACTCTCTTTCACTCGACTTGCTTCAGTGAGATCTTGAGCGGCTTAATGTACCCGAAGAACGACGACAACCAAGGCGACGGCGACCCACTTCCGATTTCGAGACGATAGTTATAACCTGTTGATTTCATAGACTCGAATTAAAAACCACAAAAGGCAACACATTTTTCCTAAATCTTGTAAGCGTTTAAGTCCTTATGTGTACAAACATATTGCTAAGATAATCCGCATTTTTCGGTTTAAATTCCGAGATCTAGAGATTTTTTTAAGCCCTTCATTCTACAGTTAAATTTCACCGGATAGAATAAAAGTGGATTAAGAGAACAGAAGCTCACCAATGTGAATTTTTAACTAAAAATATGGGTCAGGTGCACATCGGCTTGATGTGCAGCGGCATAAAATGTTACGAGAAGAAATCTGAGGTGAAAAGCCCTTTGAGTTAACACCATGGAGCTAAAAGCTTTAGCGCCCTGGGAGAGAGAAACCGAAATAAAAGGGAAAGACCGACGATGGCTATACATAGACACAACACAAATCTTGTTGCAGTAGTTTTCACTTACAAAAGGGTGTCATCATCCCTCGTTTGCAAGCAATACACTATTGAGCAGATAGCTGATAGCCAGATAGATAACTCTTGTATTCAATGCTCTATTTCACTTGGGTTGCTTCTCATTCTTTTGTACCGTCGAGGACAAAGAATATTGCTACTGCATCCGCATCACTCTTTCATTGTCTTTTGTAGTGAGCTTACAAAGCTGGATTGAGGTTTTCGCAATGACAGATTTATTAGTTTGATGTGTTTCCTATTTTTGAACGTATTTTGTGTTTTCTTAAAAAAAAAAAAAAAATAATTAGACAATCAGTTCAACGATCTAGTTTGGGTAGATTAAAGGGACACAGTATCGAATGTCTACGAAATAATGAATTAGTTATAAAGCTCAGTAGTTAGTGGGCGAGTATATGAGAAATTCAAATTAGTTTGTATCGATTGGCGGTAAGATCTCTATTTATGGATTTTAGAAGCAAGTTGGCTCGGTTTAATAAGAAGTAATGAGAAATTGATCGATAGAAATGGCCGCGCATGAATACTTATTAGGAATTTCAAATAATCTTCCGACTAATATCAGTCTCGGTAGATACACGTAGTTATATTACAAGCAGTAATGATTACACTGGATCCATTACCCGGAGCTCGTAATTTTAGTTGTATACAAGAGACGTTATATACCTAGGACTAGTAAACCCTTATCAGAAGCAAACCAATATCACTAGTTAGTCTTGCCGCGGGCTTTTGAATCACCAGTTGGCTGTTCTCTTTGATGAATATCTGGATTAATTCGTTAATTACAAGGGAACTTTTTGATTTACAATGAAGAGGGTCTCTGATGGTATAAAAAATTATTAAAGACAATTAATTTTATAGATACTGATCTACGTTTAATATCACTTTTGCCATTTTTGAGGAATTTAGAGGTTGATTCTTCTGTTTATCGATATTAAATATTGATACGCTTGTAATTTATTGTTTCGTAAAGTTCTGGATCTCTGTTCTATTATTATTATTAAAAAGCTTAAAACAATGTCACTTTAAAATTATAATTCTTTTTTATCTTATTTAGCTGGTAAGTCGCCAGACAGGAAGCGGAGACAAAAATAGTTTTTCTCGTGGTTAGAATAATGCAATTTTATGAGTTTATCAACAACGGCAAAACGGTATTGTCAAGTTGGTTTAACTTTTCCTCTTGTAGTATAATCCGTTCATATTTTTTAACTATATTTCCAGGAAGATTATAAGTGAATAATACTTATAAAAAGTAAATTAAACAGGTTAAATCAACTGGGATGTTTAATGAATAAATTAAATCCTTTTATTGTGATTCGTTTGTCTGTGACGAATTAACGATTTTACGGCTATTTTATTTCGATAAATATTTTTCAAATGTACTAGCAATGAGACTGTTGAATTCAACTATTTAAAATTAGTCATGATTAACGGCGTATCGATAATAAAATAGCAGTTACGATATTTTTTTTAAATTTTATATTGTTAATTGTAAAACACCCGAGTATTCTGTTATCACGTTAATGTCTGCATTCAATTGTATTCCGAAATAGATGAATCAGTAATGCTGCTATTTCTTGTTTTATTGTATTAGCGGTTCAATGCTCGAAATTATCGATTACGCGGTTTAAATTGAGTATGCGTACGAATAAATAATATACATGGATGTGTGTACATATATTGATAACAATAATAATAATAATAATAATAATATAAATAATGATAACAACAATCATAATATCGTTGCGAATGAAATGCATATTCATATACACATACACGTTCGATGACTGATGATATCTCGTATCAATGCAGTGATATATATACAAACCATTTAATAGTTATAGCTCGATTTGGTTTTGACTAATTTTCTGTCAAATAGTATAGTCTAAATGTGAATGTGCAGGCGTCAGTTTTCGATATGCTTCATAAAGTTAAAGTTCACAAAATAATTTGTGTAACTTGAAAATAGTATACATTTTTTTTTATTTGTTTAATTATTAAAAAAAGATGAACAATCATCAATTTCTGTATGTAATTTTTGTTAATTTTTGTTTTTCGACGACTATTAAAATTACACTCGGAGATGGCAATGAAGTAAAATCACTGGATATTAACAATGAGGATACTCGCCGAAGTGAAAACAATCCATTGGCGGACTTTTATGCTAAATCGGTAACTATTGATCTCAAAATTGATGATTTTGATGAGAGAATCCAAAAGGTGTTAAATGATCAGATTAATACGCGAAGATCGGCAATTGACGCGGCACTCAGACGTGAAGAATTAGACTCAGGTGAAAAAAATATTTTTTACCGACGAAACAATGACAGTCCAATAGATAACTTAAAAGTCGAAGGTACCGATGAAGCAATTAATCAAGATCAACTAGATGCTACGGAATCGAGGGGTGGGATAGCTTCTCAGGAGTTACAATCAGGGGACAAACAACGGATAACAAATGAGGTTAGCAGGCGTTGTTTACTTGCTGGTTCTTTAATGCTTAAGCATCATTTCATTAAAAAAATTGATTTTATTAGTAGACCTTTCAAAAAATTTCGGCAGAAACCTCGGAAACCTATTTGGCATCCCATTTTCTTCCCTAAACCTCGACGACCAGCTCCACGTCCTCGTCCACCACCACCTCCACGTCCTCGTCCACCACCACCTCCGCCCCCTCCACCCCCTCCACCACCACCTCCTCCCCCTCCACCACCAAAACCTAAGCCGAAACCCAAATCAAAACCTAAACCAACTAAACCACCCACAACTAAACCACCCACAACTAAACCACCCACAACTAAACCACCTACAACTAAACCACCGACAACTGAACTACCCACAACTAAACCACCCACAACTGAACCACCACCGTCTCCAACTAAAGAAGTGAAGTCACGTAAGACACGAAGACCAAGACCGACTAGAAACCGATGGGATGAAAATAAAAAAAAAATGTTTGATCCGAATGATAAATATCTTAAACGTACTACACCTTATTTAGGGTACCATTCTAATAAAACAAAAAAGGTTTTCACTCCGGACAAGTCGTTTTTCACTGTATTTGCAAAATTCATGACAGCTAACCCATCTTTGATTACAGACTCTCCTGAAGTAGAACATGTAGCTAGTAAAAAACCATACAGTAAGGGACATTCAGTCATTTGGGAGCGAGATGAAAACGGTTTTGTTAATACAAAAAAACCTCATAAATCAGAAAATTTAATTGATAAAAATTCAAATAAAACTGAGTACTTAATAACTAGACATCCTCATAAGGGAGGGGATTTAGTTACTAAAAATCCAAATAAAGTTAAGCACTCAACAACCCACAAATCACATTATGGAGATTCATTCACTAAAAAATCATTCAAGGATGATTATTTAATCACGAAAAAATCGTATGGAAAAGATCATTCATTTACTAAAAAACCATTTGACGATGGAAATTTAATTACTAAAAAATCAAATGGAAAAGTAAATTCATTTACTAAAGAATCATTTGATGATGAAAATTTAGTTACTAAAAAGTCCCACAGAAAAGAACATTCGTTTACAAAAAAATTGTTCGAAGATGGACATTTAGTAACTAAGAAATCACCTGGGAAATATAATTCATCCATTAAAGAACCTTTCGATTACGGAAATATGGTTACTAAAAAATCACATAAAAATTACTATTTATCTACTAAAAAAATGTATGAAAACGGTCCGTTAGTTACTCAGAAATCACAAGGGAAAGGATATTCATTCACTAAAAAACCACACATAGCCGGTAATTTAGTTACTGAAAAATCAAGCAAAAAAACACATTCATTTACTAAAGAACCATATGAAACCAGACATTCAAGTACTAAACATTCATATAGTAAAGGGCGTTCATTTACAAACAAGTTATATACAAATAAATCTTTAGTTACTAAAAATTTACCCAGCAAAACGTATTCACCAACTAAAGCACTATATAAAAATGGACTTTTAGTTACAAAAGGTCCGACTAAAATTCATAATTCAGTTACTAAAGTATTTAATAAAACGGAATATGTAATTAACGAGAAAATTACCAAGGGTTATAGTGAAAGAAGATACCGAGTAACTAACAAACATCGCATTACAAAACACATGTTAACAAATAAACCACATTCTAAACCACAAATAGGTAGGTCGAGTACCGAGAGTCAAAAAAGGGTAACGAAACTTTCTACATTATCTTCATCTCGCATTAGATCTGATGAAGTTAATCGTAAAACTACTTTGAACCCTTACAAAATAACTAAACATACTTTTAATGTCTCTAAATCATCACAACATAAAATCCTTAAAAATGTCACTCAATCTCACGTAGGGAACAACAATGCTACAAAGTTCTATAAGTACTTAACAACTATTGGTAAAAAAACAACTCGTAAAGTTGATCATATGAATATTAAACAATCACACACAACTAAACATCATAAGAGTAAAAGTCTCAATGATCATTCAAGATCAACGAAGAGTGTCATCTCAGAAAAGCTTACGCCATTACCTGGCTCTCTTCAAACACACAAATCATCTACTAGAAAGCCTATGAACAAATTTAAAATTACAAAACCACCAAAAGTAGTGTCTACAACATCTAAACTTACTACACATAGTAAAACAAAACAAAAACATACCACAAAACCTAACAAAAAATTAGAACTAATGAAAAATCACACCAAATTCTTAAAGACTTCAACCGTCACTCCTAAAACAGCTAAGATAGATGAGACACATAAAAAAGTAGGGCATACATCGACTAAAAAATTGCTTAAACATACAGTTTTGACGAAAAGCATTACAAAAATTCCAAAACCTACAGTGGGTGTTGCAGGAACTAATAAACGTTCTACGCTTTATAAAAAACCTAAAAAACATAAAAACAGCAAAAAAAAGACCCAGCAAAAGACTACAATTAAAGCTAAAAAAACAACAATCAAATCTAAAAAGACGACAGTCAAACCTAAGGTGACAACCGTCAAACCTAAAAAGACAACAGTCAAACCTAAGGTGACAACCGTCAAACCTAAAAAGACGACAGTCAAACCTAAGGTAATAACCGTCAAACCTAAAAAGACAACAGTCAAACCTACGGTGACAACCGTCAAACCTAAAAAGACGACAGTCAAACCTAAGGTAACAACCGTCAAACCTAAAAAGACGACAGTCAAACCTAAGGTGACAACCGTCAAACCTAAAAAGACGACAGTCAAATCTAAACAGACTACAATTAAAGCTAAAAACACAACAATCAAATCTAAAAAGACGACAGTCAAACCTAAGACGACAACCGTTAAACCTAAAAAGACGACAACGAAACCTAAAAAGACTACAATCAAACCTAAGAGTACTAAAAAACCTCAAAAGAAGTTACCCTTAACTACTAAAAAACGTTTGACCACGAGAAAACAAACGACAGTACTTCCGAAATGGAGACCTAGAGAACCCCGTATGGGAGGACGAAGCCAACCAAAAATACCTTTCAGAGCCGTAGGTATCCATCCAAAACATCCATACAATGGTATCTTAATGCCTTATGACAAACCTCGGGAGCCATTGACCGAACCAAAAAATCCAAGAACCCAAATAACTTTTGTTAATTTAATCGAAGACTTTAAGCCAAAAAATAATTCCTCATTTCCTATAATTTTAACTATTAAACAAAAACACAAACCTTGTAAATGCTGCAATAACAATTGTCCTACCACATGTAACAAATCCTGTTGTAAAAATACCAAGTCAAATTGTAAAAAATTCCATAGTTGCAATAGACCTTGTTATAAAAATTTTCATAGACAATTAGAAAATATTGAAGAAGTTGGCACATCAAAATTTCAACTTCAGACTCAACAAGGCGATTCAGACGATGTAGGCGCTCGTTTACTGGACACTAGAGAAGACCAGAGTGACGTCGTTGGAAGAATTGATTCGGAACCGGATATGGAAACAACCATAGAGCCTATTGCTCTTAGATATGGGATGCATCGTGGGAAGAAAGGAAAAAAATCCTTCCGTGATAAGTTTTTGATAGAGTGCTTGACTCAGAAGAAAAATTGCGACAAGCACCAAAATGATGATCAATCAACTGAAACCGAAAGTAATAATGATGACCATATCATAAAAAGGAAAAATCCTTTTGCAGCGCATGGAGACGCACCAGCTGAAGATAGAAATTTAACTAAACTGGCCTACGTTATTTCGAAGCACATTGTTAATAGTCTGCCTAAAGACATGCGAAACAGCAATTGGGCAGCCGATTTGGCTTTTAAAATTGTGTACGAAAAATTAAAAATGTATGATTCTGGTGGTTTCGGTTTACCTCCTTTTGGATTACCTTTACAACAAAACTATATGTATGGTAACAGTAGTAATAATGGAAGTAATGACTGTTGCGGCTGTTGTTGTGATGGTGAAGATGAAGCTTCAGATGCTTCTTATAGAAGCCAATTGAACTCTCAGATCGACGTTAAAATTGGAAATGAAAACACGTACAAATGTTTGCCTACAATTGATAAGCCACCGAGTGAAGGATACGTTCTGCTTGAAAATGTTGGATGGTTTAAGTTCCATAATGAGCATAAGCCGTGGAATGAAGCAAGAAAACAATGCTTCAGAGAAGGCGCTCATTTAGCATTTATGGAATCTCCACAAGAAACTCAAGTTTGTATTCATACCAATATATTTTAATGAATGCATAAGATTACGCAAGACTTGATAAATTATGAATGTTACTAATGATTTTAATTGTTTTCAGTGGTGTATTGATCATCTTCTAAGAGGATCTGAGGAAGAACTATTTTTGGGAATTCATAACTATTTTAGAGGAGACTGGGTGTCTGTAAGTGACACAGATGTAGAAAAAATGAAGCATTTGAAATGGTCGAAAAAAGAACCAGATGAGTACAGATCTTATAATTGTGCAATTATAAACCCTAAAAATAAGTTAGTTAGCCGAGAATCATGTACTGTTGATCATCCATTTATTTGTAAAGTTCCACTGTAACATAATATTTTCACATATCAATAAGCTTCGTGTTGAATAAATATCTATATGAAAAAAAAAGGTACCCGACACATATTTTATAATTCTTTTTTTCCTATTCCGTGTTAAGCATTTTATCTCAGGCTGCTCAAGTTTGTCGTATTTTTTTGCTGCAAGTTTATTCCGAAAGATAAATATCTTCAGCCCGGTACTGTATACCAGTGTTCCACAAAAAATGTATAGAAAAAAATGAACCTTATGAAAAAAAAGGTGAATAGTATCACAAAAAGTCAGGTAGCCTGTACTGGGAAAAGAACTCAAGAGAACAGAGATGTTGTTGTTAGACGAAAAGACCTTCAGCTTTACTTATTCTCAGCCCACGTGGGACTCAAGTTTCTATTCATAAGTTCTTTCGGTGACTCATGTTCGTGACGGGGGGTAGTTCACGGGCTTCTTTTCTTCTCTTCTCCAGTAGCTTCATCCACCGCAAAAACTAAATTCATTTTTAGTTCCCGTCAGTCTTCCGTTCTGAGAGCACACAGTGCGTCGGTTAAATGACATATTAGATTTTTTTTTTTTTTCAATTATTTTGTAATTAGTTTTATTAGAGCAATGTTAAAGCCAATTTATCTTGTATTTCTACCTATAGTGCTAAGCGTACCAAATAATCGGGTAATAAGAGAAGTGGATAGTGTTGAACAAGTTAATTCTCAGTCGACGGAAATGACACCTTCAACCTCACAATCAGCAATACCGTGTCATGACTTGTCGGAACATCGTGGCATTCCGCAATTAGTTTTTCCCATGTGTACTAGTACAAACGGTCTCGAGGGGTTACGCAATGTCGTGATTCATGGGATGGCTTGCACATGTGACCTCAACACTCATGATGTACACAAGAGAGATGATTATCAGTATACACCCGGAATCGGAGCACACAAACTTCACACCCGAGGAGCTACGTTCAACAACGCAAGACGGATATGTAATGAAGAAGGTGGACATCTTGCTGTTATTGATTCTCTCGCTGAGGAGCGGGTAAGTACTAGTCCTAGCAGTTGCAATTAATCATCATGCAAATGTGTTCATGCTATATGTCACTGCTGCTAATGATGATGATGATAAATATGTGAATTTTGATTTGTGTTTTACAATAGGTATTGTTGGACCTATTCAAACGTGCGGTTGGAATCAGAAATGTGACGAATGAAGATCAAGCTTTAATTGGAATCCATGACCTATTTTCAGAGGGGGAATGGGTGACTATTTTAGGCGAGTCTCTACATAAAAATGGCTATACAAAATGGAGCGACCGGTGGGGTGGACAGCCGGATAATGGTGGTGGTGTACAAAATTGTGGTAGTTTATTGAAAGAAGGAGGAATGGACGACGTCAGTTGTAATGCGCAGTTTGCTTTCTTTTGTGAAATACCCGGAATCCGAATAGCCCATTAAAACTTTTGTACTTTCCACACAACCTTTTAACTTTGTGTGTGTATTTGTGTACTCTGCTATACACTTTCATACAATTATCATTTAGTTTTGTTTACTTTATGTACCGTAACGACATTTTTATATTTTTATTTTATTTTTGCCAATCTAACTTTTTCTATGCAACTATTTCCTTTTCATCGCTACCGTACTTTTTTTTATACAGTGATTTATATAATTTGCTGAAGAATTTTGTCGAATAATCAAATAAACTTTTTAATAGAAAAATGCGAAAGCTTTCTGTTATTTTTATCGCTTTCATAAAGTATACAACAGTCTTTTCAAATTTACGAAGTTATCTATTAATTCTCTCTCTTTATGGGATTAAATTGACAAGTGATGTTTTACTTGAAATATAAGTTTTTGAACACATAAAAAACGCAATTTCTGAATGTAATTATTTTTTGTACTTGTATTTAATCAGCTAATAAAATATTATTTAGAGAGTCAAAGCCTTATTAATTATGCATTAAACAGGGTTTTCAACCAAAAACTGTATGAATGAATAATTATCAAATCTTTGATTTTTAGAGAAATGAACAACGTAATTTGTGATGGGAAGTTAATTTAATTTTGCAAAATACTCCAGAGCTAAAAAGGTTAATTATAATTTCTCTTCTGTCTACTTATTTTTATATAATTATTGTTTGATGTTTCCAACTAAGTACTGTTACAACAATATTTGCATATTTGTACTTTTTAGCCAATTTAACTTTTATATTCAACTTTTCCTTCGTTTCTGCACCATACTTTTTCATAGTCATTTATATAATCCCCCTAGTTTTTTTGATCGAATAATCAAATAAACTTTCAACTAAAAAAAGGCACAATCATCTTACCCTCATTATTGTTATTTTTTTCTAAAGAAATATACACAGAGCAATCTTTAAAAATTCTAAAAGCAATCTCAAAAAAACTCATTTGAAACTTTAAATTGATATCAAGCATATTTTAGCTCAAAAGAAATCAAGACTTCTCAAACAAAGTTATTTTATAAGAAGCGAAAAAGTCAGTGACTATTTAGTGTTTATATGAAAATAAATAACCTTGAATAAAATTTAAAGTTTAAAATGTTTGATATTTATGCTTTGTAGCTAATACACAATGCCCAGTAACTTTTGAAGTAAATAAATATATTTTATTTACGTTTATTTATTTATGTTCAAACGTCCGCGATCCATGCAAATTTTGATAACCAAGTTGAACGATTTCCTAGCATCAGTATTCATCTGTAGGATTTCCTCCAGCGACTACTGTCAATACCATCTGTAATATTTGTTGAGCTCCTGCAATATTACCAACACACCGGCACTGCTAAATTCTGAGAAACTTCAACGATCGTGAATGGCTTAACCAAAATGCTTGCAAGTATTCTCATTCATTTTTTCTCCCTCGCTTCTGCTCATCTTTCTGTCGGACCTCTTTGTCTGTTTCATTCCTTTCAGTACAGAGATAAATATATATTCCTTGCCCGACATCCTTAGCACCGACTTCTTTTTTACCCTCCACTCTCCAATATTTTCATCTTGTCTACGTCGATATTTACCGTGCATCCCGTTAGGTAATATTTGTCGAACCAGTCGCAATACCAATATTAGTAAAGCTACAATATATATAGGCACAAATATTCAGCCGTACATTACACAGCTACACTCAATTTTATTAAACTGCACTGCAAAATTATTGTTATTATTAACTATATCTTTAATTTTTTTTAATGATAAAATAATCCTCAAATTTTTTAAAAATAAAAATCAATCATCTGAGATTAATTGAACTGACAATAATTGATAATAAATCACTAAATATTCAATCAAAACTGGTGTTATTAATGTAATATTAATTTTAAACATCAACGTAATAATGCAAATGTTTATCAATAAATATTTGAACTGTATGTTCATTTTAATTACCGATAAGTAATTATAATAAAAGCACGTAGGAATTACAAATTAAAATTATTAATTATACATTTAATTTATGAGCTCATATTAAAATCAGATAGAAGGTAAGTAAATAAGTGCATGTGGTTAATATACTTTTTTTCTGGTGGTAGTACAAAATAATGGCCAGTACTATATACTATATACTGCGCTAACGAAATATATATAGAGATATGGAGATGTAGATAGTTATAGTACGTATTAATGTACACGCTGTCACGTGGATTCGTTTACGAGCCACAGTGGGTAGCCGCGACCCCACGAGGCCTTAACAAACTCTGACATGTATTTCATTTGGAATACATTGTTCGTATAGTTTGTTAGTATTAAAGTTATTATTATAAGTTATCCTCTATTTATTACCTTTTCATGACGGCAGCACGTTACAATTTTTTTTTTTAAATTAACACTATTGAGTACGCAGTAATGTACTTTAAGCTAATTTTATTTCCCATAAAAAGTAAACAAAGTTTTAATAAATATATTCCCCTATAAAGATAAAAAAATTCATCTGTAAATAGGTCGATAAAAAAATAGATAATTATCCATTTATATTATCATCAATTTTTTATAGTTAAATTAGACTATATTTTTTATAATTAATTAGAAAGACTTAAGTTAATGGGTGCACAGCTCATTTCTTTAACCTATTCCTGATTACTTAGTTACTTAGAGTTAAGTTGTTTAATTCATCAAGCAAAAGAGTAAAATACCTCATTGCAATGTAGTACGGAGTGTTATAATATCTCGGATTAGTAATCTTAAAAAGCTTAATGATTTTATGTCTAGAGCTACCTTCATAGTAATTATATAGTTGCTTAAATTCTTCATAAATACTACAATAAATAATTTAGTACAAATATTTAGTTAATAATTAACAAAATGATCTATTAACAATTCCTTCATTCAACATTATTGTGACTAACTTTGAAAATTACTTGAAAAAAAATAAAGTAGATTGAGTGAATTTATTTAAATGTTAATCATGCTTCTCTACATTTTTATTTATTCGATACTATTGACAAAACAATTTGTTTCCAACCGGAGAAAAATCCACTGATTAAACATAAGATGAGGCAATTTAGTAAGATTTGTTAGAAAAATCTTGGAATTAGTAACGATAAGACGCCGAGCAGAAAATGTAATAGCTTTTTTAAGTCTCCACAGTCGTGTCTACTTTATTTTGTTTATTTTACCTTTCTCTTATTACTTTAACGTCGTCTCATCTGTTTGCTCGATTGCGTCGGCAGTAAAACCGTTGAAGACTGTTACGTATTGCTGGTACATTTTAGAGGGAAAAATTTACGTCCGACGTCTACTAGGGAAAATAACATGGAAATGAAAGGAGGAATGAGCTTTTATATAAGTGTTGTAGAATATTGTAAAGCTTTGGCGCCACAAGTGTCCACTCCGGGTACTGCGTCATCGCGCTATAGCTAGAAATCTTTCTTTTACATTACATTCTTTTTTTTTTTCATTTTTTTTCAATATCACTTTGGCTTCAAGGCGCTTTCAAATTCTAATCATAAAAAAATTAAATTGACTGTTACAATCGAAGGAAAAAATAGATCAGCTAAAAACAATACACTGATAAAGGAATTTATTGACTATTAATAAATTCATATTTTTTAAATAATTAATTTTTTTTTGGGATGAAAATATATATATATTGACAGTTAATAAATTTTTTTTAATAAATGATTCATTAGCTATTAAAAAAATATTTGTTAACTGTAAATAAATCGCAGTTAATAAACAATTTATTACTGTTGATAAATACTTATTAACTGATCTAATGTTAAAAAATCATTTACTAAGAAGGCTTATTAATTATTAACAAATCCTTCTACCCGTGTAAAAAGAAAAAGGGAAGTATATTTCGACATCGTATAAATGAACAAAAAACAACAGATAGCAAAAATAAACGAAGGTAGAGAGGGTAGATGTATACATCAGATTGTGAAGGGTATCGCTGGTTAATAATACACGCGCCACTCATACAATTTGAACGAATAAGAGAGAAGCACCAGGGGTTACTTGACACAATGTACTTTAATCGGCGCCCTTTTTGGTAACTGTGCTCTGGTAGAACACAAAACATTGAACATTGAACAGTATCTCGTATGTGGGCACACACGGGATGCTCAAGTGTGTAGATGTACCGCAGGGGTTAAGCCCATAGTTCTGTAGGAGAACAAAATGACCGTTCCCATGGGCGTCGCTTCACTCTCGTTTTTTATATATATTTTTTTTATTTTATTTTATTCGCGTCCCTTTTTATTCCTGGCTTCTATTCCATACTCCAATCCCCAGCGCCATTTGTAATTTACATTTTAAATTACTCGGTACTGCGAGCGGCTATCAATTTCGTACCCTGACCCGTTACGTGCGTTTTAACATCCCATGGTAAATATAAAATACTAAAGTTAATAAATAACCTTCGTAAATGTTTTTAAATGCTGAAACAACTAAAACTAAAAACAAATATTTATAATTATTTTATTTATAAATTCATTTTTCTTTTACTTTTATTTTAATAAATACATTTGTCAATGTCGCTACCCCGAGGTTTATTTATTACCTTTCAACATTTGCTTTTTTTACCAATAAAATATTATTCATAAAGATCGTTTGGTTGCTTTGTTTTGTTGTTCTTTTTTTATTATTCAATCGAATAATAATTAATAAGTTTTTATATTTCTATAAAAATGATTTATTTGAAGTCTAATAGTCTGCTTCCTCATGAATAAAAATCGAGACTCATGTAGATACATTCTGAAATGTCCTCAAACAAATTTAAACTAATTTTTCAGTAGTTTTGGAAAGTTACAAAATAGGAATTACAAAAAAAAAAATGATTTTAGAGGTTAAAAGATAATTAATATTATTGTTCCCTAAATTCTAGAATGTCTTTAAAAAAATTTAGGCGATTTTAATGTTTAATTAAATTATATTAAATACATAATAGATAATGAAATATAAACTAAGATGACATTTACCTAAATAGAATGACTTTTTGCC